AATAGCGTAATAATATTAAGCAACACCTGGTGCATTTTCTTATGCTGTACAAAAGTTACTCGGCAATCCTTACATACGATGCAACACTGGGGTAATTACGTCATTCTGTCAACTTTCTACGTATTTTCGATGACCTCCATACTATCCCCATAGCATCCGTAACTTTTATGATTTAAAATATCCCTATTTCTTTCTGCCATTTTAAGTCAGTATTATTTCAGTTCTTCCTAATTCAGTGACAACTGTAGTTTTCCCAGTGAAAAATGGTTTGATCAGAAGTAGGTTATATCGCCAGTAAGAACAGAGTAATTCTTATCACTCCGATAGGTGTTCAATAATGGTTCTAAGAAGAATGAACAAAAGTACTGGATTTTAACATTCCACGAGTTGTTTGCGCGTTTATGTTTCGTTTTGAAGAGAAAGTTTTGAAAATTGGGGACTTAATTTAAGTTGTTAAAACTGCCTTATGTGACCGCATTTGATTAATGTACGCATTCTTTTTCTATGATTTGTGTAAATCCTTTAAATTACACTTATATTTTCACCTGGATTTCAAAAACCTTGAGGGCTATGTAGCAAGATAACGAACAGAAATCAACAAATTCTATGACCGAAGACTCTACAAGGTACGGTTCGCAGATTAATGGTTTTGGTAGGTACAAAGACGGTTTCATCATCTCATCCACTAGCTTTTTGGCCATCTTTTGCAGTATGTCTTTGACAGTTCAGAGGCGTAGCCTATTCTAGTAAGTCCTTCACTAAAGGGACGCTTCACAAAAATGTTGTGCAGTCTTGAGACGATAATTGGGGCGAGAGAGCTCCTATTTGAAATGTAAAACTGTATATTACAGATTTGACTCTGAACGTTATTGTCGGTCATTAAAAGAATAAGAGATGAAACTTACAGAAGGTAAAATTTGTCCTCTACTGCACACATTTTTCGTTGACTTCCTTATCAGTAGATGTATAGCAGTTGACCAAAAATCGACTTCACAAGATTTCAAATAATTTACTTTGACTCGATGGGATTCGAACTCACGACAACAAGGGGAGGCTTAAGTACAGTCCTAAGATTTATTCACAGTTAACAGTTAAATGACCCTAAAGTTTTTGAACAAAAACAAGTTACGTGTTGGCGCTGTAAAATAATTAGTCAAGGCTCGTGTCTGCACAGGAGTCACAAGATTATAAGCAGATAAAACAAGTTTCTTTATTTTTTCGGATATAACCTTACTAAAGAGCTTTGCACTGAATTTCTCGCAATACCTTCCGTAAGCTTGATCACTATCCTTTAGAAACATACTTATGGAATCAAAGTAAACTTTAGTTACGCGCAAATAAATAAAATTCTTCA